TTTTTTTTTTAAAAAAAGGGAGAAAGAATTTTTGGCTTTGGATATTGGCTGTCGGAAGCCAAGTTATTTCTGAAGATATTGACCGCTTCAGGGTAACCTCTAGCTAGAAAAGAAGGGCTGACACGAGAACTTTACTAAACCCCGTTAAAGTTAAGTCTACCGGAGAGAAAATAAAGATTTTTCTTTCCTTCCCCCCTCCTTTTTTTTTCCTCGTGCCACTTCTTTTCGGTATTCCGGGGTCGATGGCTTCACTGCAAAGCATTCAAAAGTTGTCAATAGGAAGTGACAAGATAAGATTAAGGATGCTATTTTTAGGAATTAGTTTAGATAAATGGCTATTTTTCCCTTGTTATATAGGTTACGACGACCCCGATTTAGCGATTTAATCGTTATACATAGAAACCGAGCCAGGATCTTCTTCAGGAGAGCATTGGAAAAGGGGGGGGACGTTAGAGAAATGAGAAGAAGGAAGATTCCACCAGATAACCAATTAATTGTTGGGGAATTGGGGGAAAATTCCCTAAATTATTTCCGCGTAGCTTAGGGCAATGATAAAAAAAATCAGGGATTCTTTTGAAGAGAATTCAGACATCCTATAATTGAAGTAGTTATTGATCAAGTAACAAATCAATCAACCCTATAGACTGTTGGGATGAAGATAGGAGGGAGGAAATGTATACAAATCAGAAAGGAAACTAATTATCTCGCAAAAGTCACGTGTTTGGGCTTTATACGAAAGGATAGGCTAAAAAAAAAATAGGTGGAGGGGCAAAAAAACCTCATTACAACGTGGTGTATAGTAACTCCCAAGAGGCTTCAAAGGTGGAGGATGAATGGGGATGAAGCAGTTTACAGTTCTCGATTTAAAGTAGAGAAACTGAAGGAGTTTTAGTCATTTACTACCTCTTGGTATATGTTTTCGGTAACGTCAATTAAGGACATCCAACCGAGCTAAATTACCGAGTAATAAAGCAAAGGGGGAATTGTTTTCCCTCCTTTCCTCTTCCTCCTTTCTTTTCCTTGATTTTCCCTTTCTCCTTCTACGTCTTATGAGGAGAACCATGCAGAGATTAGCGTCATTAGTTGCTTCTTCTTCTTCTGGTTTGTTTCTTCTACAAATGAAAGAGATAGCACCGGAATTAATCTAGATGCAATGCTTTAATTAAAATGCTTTGCTTTATCAGGTGTAACGGGTTCTTTTAAATTGTTTTATTAATGTTAGCACAAAGGAGGGTTGAATTCTCTTTAGCTTGCTGGAGTGAAAGAAGTTAAATAAATGCTTCTACTGATGATGAAATGTGCATGATGCGCTCTTGTGGTTTGTTTTTTTTCCCCTTCTGGTTTTTTCCCCAACTAGGTAAGGTTTTTCTGTGTTTTCTGACGTTTGAGTAGGGGTTTTTCCTGTGTTTTCAACATAAGTAGGGGTTTTTTAAAAAATAAATCCACAGAGGGATGCGATTTATAAAATGCAGATGATTCTTATTCAGATACAATAGGGATAAAGAGGTTTTTTCTGTTTTTCCAACATTTAAGTAGGTTTTTTTTTAAAAAAATTATAAGAACTGTAAGATGCAGATGATGCTTATTCTTGGTTCTCCAGTGACTTTCGTGAATTGAATTAATTCTCTTCAGAAATTACACGATTATTTAGACTTAAATTACATTTTTATGAGATTTTGAGGGGTTTAAATAATCAAATTTTTTAATTCTTTGTGTCTTTAATGTACATTACCAAGATGCAATTTTATGTTTTGTATGTCTCCAAGGAATTTTATGCCATTTTCCTTCTTACTAAGCTCAGTTTTATATGAATAATTGCCTTCTCTAAAGCATTACTCTGCTTGTATGAATTTATAAGTGCCTATTTTATATAAAAATAGCCTTCAAAGTCACTTTCTAATACCCAAAATGCCACAGTTTAACTTACTAATGTAAAATTTATTGACATTTTCTAGGAGACTGAATTTTTAATATTTATTCCCTGAAAGCACGAGATGTATAGCCTTTTTTTTACATTACAAAAAGCCTCTCTCGATACAGGCTTTTTATATAATTCTAAGGCAGCAGGTAATAAACTTAGTCTTGCTTTAATATGGACTTCCTTCTTATGTAGTCTTAAAAACAGTCTTTTTAAGTTTTTTAAAAGGCTTAAAAATAGTCTTTAAAGGCTCTACCCTTTGCTATTTCTTAAGAATATGGCTTTAGAAGGTCAGTATAATGCTTTTTCTTCATACTATAGAGTATAAGTCTTTGATTAAGGTCATAAAACTAGCTTTGAATTATATAAAAGGCTAAAGAAATGGCCTGAAAAGGCTACTAAATCACCCCTTTTATATAATTCAAAGGTATTTTATGACCTTAATCACATCCAATCTTATGCACTGCGATGGAAAACAGTGATAAGGCCACCTTTCCTAAAATGCTGTTTAATTATTTTACAAGCCTTCGAAGGCTATTAAAAAGCCAAATTTTTAAGAAATTAGTCTGAAAGGCTGTCAAATCACTTATTTTTTTATAATTTAAAGGCAGTTGTACGTACTTAATCAGAGGAAATCTTAAGCACTGTTCTTGTTAACATGGAAAAGCTTATAGTACATAAAGATCAACTTAATGGCAATTAAACTTAAAAAAATAATTACCATTAACCCAGCATAAATTATGTTTAAATAATTACACTAATAACAGTTAATTTAATGGCAAAAATATTCTATAAAAATTTAAACAAAATTATTCTTTGATAAATTTTTAAAGGGCAATTACAGCCACATCCCACCAGTTACTTGCCATCAAAGGGGTTACTATAGCCACATCCCATCAGTTATTTGCCATCAAAGGGGTTACTATAGCCACATCCCATCAGTTATTTGCCATCAAAGGGGTTACTATAGCCACATCCCCCTTTTTTTTTCTGGAAGGAAAATCCCTAAAAATCCTGGATTTTTAAAGCTTCTTAGGGTGAAAATCTTGTAAAATCTCCCTCAACTTTTTAGGATTTCGAGCCATAAAAAAACCTGAACCCAAATCGAATCCTTTAAACTTTAAAGGTCCAGAATAGAAATTTCTTATCGAGAGAGTCTGAGATGAAAGAGAATTAAAATTCTCTCGAGATCAGCAATCATTTTAACTGTTTCGTGGATCATTAATCTTATATAAGAAATACCTCACAAGAGATTCAAACTAGACAATGGATCTTTCGAGAATCCTTAAAGGAATTAAAATAGGAGCAGAGAATAAATACTAATCAATAAACTATAAACATAAAATTTGTCTGATAATACTGTTGAGAATCTTGAAAGATCCACAGGAAAAATTGAAACGTTGAGTTTCTACGCGAAGAGGAATATGTAAATTGCATCCTGTATCCTCCAAGGATTAAAAAAAATTAGGAACAGAGACTAAAAAATAATTAATAAACCTAAAAATATAAAATTTATCCTATAAAACCTTTAATAATCTTGAAGGATTAATACAATGAAACAGAATTGAAACGTTGAGTTCCTACGCGAAGAAGAAGAAGAATATGTAAATAACAAGAAAATTTATAGAAATATTCATAAAAGAAACTTATATTTTACTAAATTTTTTACTTTTAACTTTACAGATTTTATTCATAAAGACATTATTTTTTCATATTTTTCATCTTCAAAAATCGTTCAAACCTCAGCACGATTTCACACACGAAAGCATCCCTCGATGCCATTCTGAAGATGACAAGTGTAGAAGCCATTCGAGCGGATACAAGAGGGGAAGAATGAAGAAAAAAATTCAAAAAATACAACCAAAAAAAAAAAATGAAAATTTATTCTAAAAATAAAAACATTTTTTAGCGTTTTGTTTCCATAATTTATTTCAGTGCTTNTAGAAGAAGAGGAGGAGGAGGAGGAAGAAGAAGAAGAGCAAGAGGAGAAGAAAGAAGAGGAGGAGGATTGTAAGAGACAGAGAAAACAAACGAACTTAGCGAAAAATGTTGACAATAAATGTTCATGTTTGCGAAAAGATATTAACCATGTTCTTCAGAGAGAAGTAGCAGATTGAACAGACACATCATCATCTCTTGGTGGTCCTCACCACGTCAAGAAGCAGGTATCGAGTAAAGGATGTGATAGACACTGATGTAGATGTATCAGATAGATCCTTTCTATCCACAATGCATCTCCACTCTTAACCCCGAAGATAGTTTAAGCGTTTAGACCCCCTTAGGGTCAAAAAGTGGAGTATAGAAGAGGAAAGAATTCTGCTGAGCATCACCCTACTTAAGAATCTAGAAAAAAAAAGTATATGATACGTTTACTACTATAATAATAATCTCGTAGTTGCAAGCTAAGCAGGGAATACAGCTCTGAGTGTTCTTAAAGTAGAAAAAATGCTACTATAAACAGCTTTTAAGTGAAAAAAATATATCCAATTTTTAGAAAGGACGAAAGGGAGGATAAGTTTAAGTAAAATTTATAGTTGAAGCTACTTTAGTTTTTTCCTATGGACTGACTTTAAAGTGAATCTGACCTATTGTTTATCTTTAGTTTTCTTTCTTTATTTTTAACAATTTTTGATGGAAGAGTTTACTTTTGAATTTTATTATTATTATTTTTTTTTACACAATATAAAATTTTATTTTCCCTAAAAATATTATTTTTTTTTTTATTTTATCCTGGTAGGAAAATCGATTTTTTTCTTGTTTAAATGTCTTTTGCTGATTTTCTGTAAATTTATTTTATTTTATTTTTTCTCTCTTAATAATAATAAGAAGAAGAAGAGGAGGAGGAAGAAGATTTTCTCCTGGAATATTTTACTTTCTTTCTTCGAAATTTCGTTTTTTTTCCACCACAAATTTTATTTTATCAGTAATATTTTTAATTTCTTTTCATAAAAATTTCTTTTTTGTTCTAAAATAGTCTAATTTTCTATCAAAACAAAAAATATTTTATTTTTTTCCAAAATTTTATTTCCTATAAAATTTATTCATTTCAATAAACATTTGATTCTATTTTTACCTTAAAAATGTCTTCTTTATCCTTTAAAATTTTTCTCCTTACTCAACAAAATTTCATTTTTTTCTCTACAATTTCTCATCTTCCTATCTTCTCCTACTAAAACAATACCATTTTTTTTCTGCAATTCCTACTAAAAAATGTTCTTTTTCCTTCTGCAATTCTTACTCTTTCTCTCTTTTCCTACTAAAAAATATATTTTTCTCTCTTTTCCTACTAAAAAATATATTTTTCTCTCTTTTCCTGCCAAAAATGTTCTTTTTTCTTCTGCAATTCCTATTTTTTTTCCTACTAGAAATTTCCTTTTTCTACTAAAACATTTCAATTTTTTCGATTTCTCTGTACAATTCCTCTTTTCCTACTAACAATTTTCATTTTTACCTACTACAATTCCTAATCTTATTTCAGTAGGAAAAAAAGGAGAAAAATTCGCAATTAATTCCTTTTATTTTCCCTCTAAAATTTTCATCCAATAAAATTCCCCAGAAAATCTCTTAAAAATCAATTCTATTTATAAAATTCCCTACATAGAAAATTACCCTAAATACTCTAAAATATCCAATTTTCTCCCCATTCCTTCCTACGATTGTCTCTTACTTCCAAAGAGATTTCAGTAATATATATATATATATAATTACTAATATTGATTTAAGATAAATTACAAGATAATAATACTAAATAATTCATTTTTACCCAATAAAATATATATTGATTAATGTATAAAAGCATATAAGTGTATATAACATGTATCTAACTGAAAATCATTGAAGAAAAACAGAAATTTGTAAGAAGAACAAGGTACTTAAATGAAATGCATAAGAATTTCTAGAAAACCTGTTAATTACTTTACATAAAATTTAAATATTAAAAAAAATCTTGTGTAAGGTAAACCTGTAATTTACTCTATGATGTTTTAATTGTTAATGTGGGGTAATTAATAATGTCATCTAGTGTAAGGGATATCGTGTTTAAAAATCATTTTGCAAGGGTGAAGTGGCCTCTTCGTAGAGCTACAACATTAAAATGAATTTAAGAGGCTTGCTAAAGAGACCCTTGAGCAAATTCTAATTTATTGGCCTTGCTTCATACGAGAGAATTTTATTTTTACAATTTCCTTAAAAATAAACCGAGAAAAATCCTTTATTTTCCCCCTACTTAAACTTATGAAATTATGAAAAATTCAGTGAATAATTCCATTTTTTCTAGTGTTTTAATATATTAAAATCAATCCACTTTACTCTAGGGATGCTCGTTAAGAGAAGAATTGAAGGTTCGTAAAGTAAATAAACAAGCATTTTTCTCTCTTAAAGGATATTCCAAAAGTCTGTTAACTGTTACAAGGACTAAACACGGTTAACTAAATTTTAGACCACCCTCTTGGCTAAAACATTTTAATTTCTTAAGTGAAAATCTCATTTCTTTCAGTGGAATTTTTGCTCTTTAACATTTTTGAAAGTTTTTTCTTCCAAAAAAGGGGGCTTTTTAGAAAAAAGTCCATATTTTTTTAGAATATTTGAATGTTTTCTAGAATAAATCACTGAAATTTCACGTGTTAAACGAAGATATAACTCAGAAAGTGTCGAGCTTCTTCAAATCAATGGTTAGAAGTGCATCAGCAGTTGAACAATAAGAATTAATTTTAGAATTTTGTTCATTACAAAACATTAATTATCCATAAAAACATTAAAAATATCTATAATTTGGTGGAATTTATTAGATTTTTGGGGCAAATTTTGAGTTAGAAAATCCGTTTTTTAGATACAGAAAAGCACGAATGCTACCAAAAATCGTCCTCGTACTTGCAGAAATTACTAAACTATCAAATGTTATAGAAAAATATTAAATTAATTATACTTATATCTTAAAATTTAAATAAGTATAATATAAATTAAGTTATAAGTGTTGTTTTTGTGATAAGTAAATTTTCAGAGGAAAATCCCCTAAATAAAACCTGAATAACTACTAAAATAATATTTTAAAAAAATGTTTGTAAACANTTATCTAACAATACATTAAAGATCATTTCTCATTTTTATAATGATTTTCAAAGTATAAAATATATTCTCTACTTAAATTCTCTATCCCTCATACTAGTATATTATACAGTATATAACCCGTAAACCACGAACAAGTTTATATATTACACCGTGTAAACTAACATATCTCGTGTACACGGATGTATATAGATGTTTGGAAGCGAATATATACATCTAAATTTATAATATAATGACATTCGAGGCTGTAAACAGGTTATATACACTGTATACAAATAGTTAATATAGATAAACTGTTTACAATTTTCAATGTAAAAAATGTTAAATTTAATTGTACTTTAAGAGCTTCAATATGTAAAAATATTGTTAAATTTGGATACATTTTCCAATTAGATGTATCTACTGAAAAAAGGAAAAGAAAAATTAAAGAAAAATAGAATTAAATCCCTAGCAGAGTATTGGAGAAGAGAAAAATAAAGGAGAATAAGCTTAAAAAACTACATCTGTGTTCGATCAAAACATGTTGAATGGAAATGAAATCAAAGATTGCACAGAAAAAGAACATCTGCAGCTGCTATAGCAATAAAAAGAAACTTAAATTAGAATAAAAACTAAGTGATAGAAGGAAAAAGAAAGAGAATATACTAAAGAATGAATAATAAATAAGCTTATATTCATAGTAAAATTATGAATTACCCTGTTCGTAATTGAGTTTAAACGTGTATCTAGTTGGGATCTAGAGATGCTGGAGAAGGGAAGCTCAAGATGAAAAAAAAATAAGAGTGATAGAGTGATTTAACGCTTGCTACGTTGCCCGCGAGAGGGCAGCACCGTTCGAATGGACGATAATGGTGGACGACACGTGGTGTACTTCCCACAGATTGCACACAACGGAACTTACACTACATTAAACAGGGTCGGGGATGAAGTGCTGGAAATGGAGACATTGAGGGCGTGAGATCAGAACATAATCTCTATCGAGATTTATTGTTAAGTATAACGTTAAAACGTCGCATTCCATCATCTGCCATAAGCGTAAATATTTATGACGCAACTTAGTTTGATACGTCAAACAAAATACCTCCCCCCAGCTCCACTCCTCTCTTCTTCATCCCCCCAGATGGGTGACAAAGTATCCACCTCCCTCCAACTCCATTTTATAAATTCTTCTACAGAAAAATGTCCTTTATATATATAATAAATAATGATTAAAATAATAATTTATGTGTGTTTTTTTTAGTATATTCATCAAAAAAATTCGTCGAATATTCGTAAATATTGATCTAGTTTCTATTTTATTTATTTTTTGTCGTTTATACCTTAATTTTTTAAAAAAATTTTTACAAATTTTAAGCATCAGAAATAGATTTATAGTGTGGAGTTTTTATATTTTATATTTATTTATTTTTTTCATTAATTTTGATCGAAGAAATTCGGTTTTAAAGGCTCCTGACTTACACGCTCTTTGCTATTTGATGAATAATAATGAATAGCAATTTTGTTATCGTTGGAAAGTGAATAAATTTATTGAATTTTTTTTAAGATTTACCTTCTAAAAAATTACGTGTAAATAAATCAATAAATAAATGTGTTTGTTGTAATTATTTATACAATTTTTCTTTTTACAGTCGAACCTCTAAACGACGGTCACTGAAGAAATGGAGGTGAATTTGTTTGAGGTTATTCTGTACCCTATATATTTTTACTCGGAAAATGTTCATTAAAAATGGCCGCTATTTACAGGTGGCCGTTATTTAGAGGTTATTTTGTATGCAAGTTTATTTAACGTTCCTGAAAAAATATCCACCATTAACAGGTGGCCGTTGTTAGGAGGTGACTATTATTGCAGGTTCGTCTGTGAATAAAGAAGGAATAATCTACATAAATTTCTATTAAATTGATTTTTAAATTAAATACTGTATTTTTTTAATTAAAAATCAATTAAAGTTCAGGTTTATCCACTTAAGTACTTAAAAATACTTAAGAATTATAAGCGTACAGTACGTCTGGTTGTCTGTCAGTCTGGATATAAAAAAACCGAACTCGTTAGCACCCTTCTGCATGAATTAAAGCTTAAAATCAGTTGGTATATAACAAAAATAATACAAAGAATTATTAAATTATACAAGTTTAAAGCAAAAATTTTAATTATAAATTAAAATTTTTCATATGAAACATTAAAAATGTAAAAATATTTTTTTTATTTATATAAAAATTTTCATTAATTTTCGAATTTTCTACGCTTTTTGTAACGCTTAGCGTGTCCTTCTACCATTTAAATTTACTGTAATTTATTAATAAAGCTACTTTAAAGAGGATATTTAACCTTAAAAATTGAATATTCTTAACTTAAACTTCTTAAAATATGAATTATTTACTGAAATTTTATTATTTATTTTACATTTTAATGTAAATTTTTATTTTATAGCTCTTTTAAAATGTAGTTTACGTTTCAGTGAACAGTTTCGATTCTTATCTATACTTATACTTACTTTTTTATTATTATTTTATCTAAGAATATATATATTTTATTTTATATCTACATAAAAGATTTTACTAGAATTTTATTATTTTATCTAACAATACATTAAAGATCATTTCTCATTTTTATAATGATTTTCAAAGTATAAAATATATTCTCTACTTAAATTCTCTACCTCTCATACTAGTATATTATACAGTATATAACCCGTAAACCACGAACAAGTTTATATATTACACCGTGTAAACTAACATATCTCGTGTACACGGATGTATATAGATGTTTGGAAGCGAATATATACATCTAAATTTATAATATAATGACATTCGAGGCTGTAAACAGGTTATATACACTGTATACAAATAGTTAATATAGATAAACTGTTTACAATTTTCAATGTAAAAAATGTTAAATTTAATTGTACTTTAAGAGCTTCAATATGTAAAAATATTGTTAAATTTGGATACATTTTCCATAATACAAAAAATAAATTCAAAGTTCAGAATTTATATATTTTATAAAATATTTTTTTTTTNTTTTTTTTTTTTTTTTTTTTTTTTTTTTTTTTTTTTTTTTTTTTTTTTTTTTTTTTTTTTTTTTTTTTTTTTTTTTTTTTTTTTTTTTTTTTTTTTTTTTTTTTTTTTTTTTTTTTTTTTTTTTTTTTTTTTTTTTTTTTTTTTTTTTTTTTTTTTTTTTTTTTTTTTTTTTTTTTTTTTTTTTTTTTTTTTTTTTTTTTTTTTTTTTTTTTTTTTTTTTTTTTTTTTTTTTTTTTTTTTTTTTTTTTTTTTTTTTTTTTTTTTTTTTTTTGTAAAGACTTGTTATTTTTAAGCGAAAAGATGTACTTTTCAGTAAAATATTTATTTAAAAAAAAGTGTACATTTATAAGAAATTTTATTTTCTGTTTTTGGATTTTTTCTAATTGTTTGAAATGTACTGTACAATTTATTTTTCTTTTGTTTTACTTTATTTGTCTATTTCATTTTTGAAGTTTTTAATTGTTGAAATTTACATCTTTACTTATTTTTTCTTTGCATTTTATTCGTCTGTTTCATTTTTGAATTTTTTAATTGTTGAAATTTACATTTTTATTTATTTTTTTCTTTGCATTTTATTCGTCTGTTTCATTTTTGAATTTTTTAATTGTTGAAATTTACATTTTTATTTATTTTTTTCTTTGCATTTTATTCGTCTGTTTCATTTTTGAATTTTTTAATTGTTGAAATTTACATTTTTATTTATTTATTTTTTCATTTTATTTGTCTGTTTCATGTTTGAATGTACATTTTGTTTATTTCAGAAATAAATTTTATATTTAAAAATTAAAAATGCAATTGAAATAAACACTATTTATTCTTTTTTTTTAAAAAATGTAGGAATAAAAAACGATTTTAACTTTTAATATTTTAAACTTTTTGTATTTTATATAAAATCCATTCGCTGAAATAAATAAAGTTTAAAATTCAAGTAATTAAAAACAGAAAGTAATGCTTAGAGTACTCTTGATGCATTGAACTGTGTTGTTAATCCTCGCTACTTTTTTATGTATATGTATAGAGCAGTAATTTATTTTTATTATTTTGTTTTCAACTTTTAAGATGACTTTAGTTTTATCATATTACATTTCCATTTCTTTGTTATTTATTTTAAGATTCTAAATGTACTTTAAAATGTACAAAATATATATTTTATTCAAAGATATTTTTAAAAAATAAAGAATAAATTCTATAAAACTCAGTAGTACCCATACGAAATTATATAAATGTATTCTTTATAAATTTTAAAACTTTATTTTTGCTTAATTTATGTAATTTACCCTTTTATATGCATACTTTAAGTTATGTACAGCATTATATTCATTAATATTTCTAATGTTTAAGCTGTGTACATTGTTAAATAGTTCTATATATCACTATGATAAATGAAGGCATCGAGAGGAGTCTTCGAATAGAATAATCAAGAATTAATTAAGGAAATTTAAAATTTTTGGAAGAAAATACACAAAATAAAGCATAAATTATTGATTTAGTATGATATAAATTTGATCAAAATGGGCAAACTTCCAATATATTTGGTCAAACTTGGTTGGATAATTAAGTTATGGTACTCTCTACTGAGTGATCATTTTTATGTAATTTTCTTATAAAAGTTTAATAAATTTATCTCTTACCATCCAAAATAACGTTTTATAAACTATATCTAAATCTTTTTTTCATACGTTTATGCTCCAGTAATTGGATAAATTTTGGCACAGTGATTCCATTCTTGGAGCATCATAAAATAGCATCCTTTAATTTTGCTTCTAGGAAAATAAAGATAAAAGTTAATTATTAAATTATTGGTAGAAATAGAAAAAAATAAAATAAATAAATAAATTCCATTATTTGATCAAGTAACATTTGGCTTGACATCAATACATTTAAGTTTAGCTAATTTTGGGGAAAAGATTTATAGAGTTTAAACAATAAATCACATACAATTCCTTAGAGTTTGCTTGAATTTTATACGAAATTTTGTCGCTTGAAAAATTAATATAGAAAGTTGATTTAATATTAATTAAAGGCATTAAATTTTATTTAATTTTTAAATTTTTAATGAAATTTTATTTAAAAAATCACAACAGCAAGATTGTCTTCTTACGTATCTTCTATAAGAAGAAACATTCTCACAGCATTTCATCTACTCTGAATTATACAGGATTATAGAAAATATTTGAAAATTTAATATATTTTTAATAAAATTCAATAAATTTCAATATAATTTTTGAATTTTTTAAAATGATATTTTATTTCAGAAGTATGTACAAGTACTGTACATCTTCAACAGCAAGAGTACTCATTCCTACTATATCCTACACACTTTAAATTAACTAAAAATAAATAAATAAATTTAATAAATCAAAAAGATGAAAATTTACACACACGACGAAAGAAAATTCTTATATAATTAACTTATAAACGAATTGATGAGCAGATAAATCTTATTTGTTATCTACATCTTCTATGCACCGACTCCTCTCACTGTATACAACTTACCACCTAATTATATTAATTTAATTAAAGATGAGATGAAGAGATAGTTAGATAGTATTTTCTGGTATATCTGTGGTCTGATAGAAAGCGATGAAGAGTGAAAGATAAGCTCCTTCTCAATGCTGCAGATGACCTTTCTTTGGTTAATATCTCTGTCATCTCCATCACTACCCCTCTACTCGATTCTGGACAGAAAATCGATAATTATTTCACAGCACAGCTACAACTTAATCGATATTCTTTGCTTGTATCCAATTCTGCTTTCACTTTTACACTTTTTGGATGGGTGTAAAGAATGATCATTGCACTTCTACTCGAAATTAATGTCCACCTCTCTTACAATTCCCCTGTATACAACATCTGCTATGGTTCTCTCTCCTTACATATAAATTTATATATA